GTTCAGAGGACCAGGGTTCAATCCCCAGCATCCACACGGCTCACAACTGCCTGTAACTGCAGTCCTAAGTGATCTGATGGCCTCTTCTGACCTCCATTGCCTCTGTACACAGAGATACTGTTGGACCAGAAGTCCAAACATCAAGGAGGAGTTGCTCCAAATACCACTCACATAACCACAAGTTGATGCAAAAGCAAGAGGATTTTTATTCTGTCATGACAGGGTCCTTCAGGTTTGGGATATGAAGGACATCGATAGCTGTTACAGTCCATCTTTTAAAGCAAAAAGCCACAGACACAAGGGGGAGGGGACCGGTAGGTTGTTTTCCAACTTATTGGATTGGCTTATTCAAAGGGTTACTAGCAGTGATTGGTCTATTCCAGGGCAGGAGAATAGTTACGTGGTCAGGTGATAAGGGAGAACATCTGTGGTCCATCCTGACTAAATCAATGCATCAGGAACTGAGTCAACATCTGTGGGTTGTATTTGCCTCAGTTCCCAAAATGGAGTTACGTTTGAAGATTATTCAATGTAAGTAAAGTTTTTTCTTTTTAAATACCTATTAAGAAAGAATGCTCTTCTACAGAAGGAGGTGGGCCCGAGATTTAGGTCAGCACTCACATTGTACAAAGGGCAGAGACTTTTATGTCAGGCTTCTATGGCTTTTTGGGTCCTGTCTATTCGTTTGTTATGTGTAGTTGGTACACACACCTCATGAATTGCGTCTCATTAGCATATTAAATCACTAATCGGGAGGATTTTTTTTTTATTACAATGATCCACAGGCCACCACCAGACACAGACTCTAATGACTCTGCCCCTATGTTAGGAGTTTCCAGGCTTTTCTAGGCAGCGTCAACTGTTTGCCAACTGTTTCTCTCATGTGCTATTTTTTTTTTTTTTTGTAGAAATTTATGTTTTAGCTACATGGTGGTGGCACATGCCTTTAATCCCAGCACTAGGGAGGCAGAGGCAGATCTGTGAGTTTGAAGCCAGCCTGGTCTATGGAACAAGTTCTACAATAGCCAGAGTTACACAGAGAGCCTGGCGGTGGTGGCGCACACCTTTAATCCCAGCACTCGGGAGGCAGAGGCAGGTGGATATCTGTGAGTTCGAGACCAGCCTGGTCTACAGAGCTAGTTCCAGGACAAGCTCCAAAGCCACAGAGAAACCCTGTCTCAAAAAAAAAAAAAAAAAAAAAAAAAAAAAAAAAAAAAAAAAAAAAAAAAAAAAAAAAAAAAAAAAAAAAAAAAGTTACACAGAGAAACCCTAAACCCTGTCTCCAAAACCAATATACATGTTTTAATTTTGTTGTTGTTGTTGTTTTGTTTTGTTTTTCGAGACAGGGTTTCTCTGTGGCTTTGGAGCCTGTCCTGGAACTAGATGATGCTGAAATATAGATCATATTTAATCTATCCCAGAAAACGTTCCATTCAGCTGCCTATAACAAAGATATCTGTTAGTCATATTTCCAAAGAGCAACTTACATGGTACTTGATGCACACGGAGCATCACCTCCCAGGCTAACTTTGCAGTCTTCCTCTCAGGCCTTCGGGACGTCACCCTCTGAGCTAATCTATGTCAGCAAGACTGTCTAAAAGGAACACAGATGAAAGGGCTTGACGATCATCCTAACACGCTAACACCTTGTCTCAAACATACAACAACAAAAATCTTAGCAGACTTCCAAAAGATCAAACTAAAATGCAAAATGGAAAGAGAGCAAAGATAAGAAAGTAGAACCAAATCGAGAATGTCAGTATCCAAAAGACTCTGGGTTCCAGGAAAGAGGAA